TTTTTCTGGGTGCTATGCCTGCTTCTGGTCTGTCCGTGTCTTTGTTTTGTGGGCTGGACTCTGCTTATGTGTCTCTTTCCTTCGTGGAGTCCATGGCATCTTTCTCCCCTATCTGGGGCTCACTGATGACTGACCAGTTGTTAAAGTTGTCTTGGTCCTGATCCTGGAATCTTTTGCTCAATTGTATTTCCACTTTGCCAGCGCTCTGCAGCTGCTTCTGGTTACATCTCAGCCACTGTCCACTATCTGTGACAACTTTGTAGGATCTATCTCCCACTTCACCCTCAACGGGTGGCCTTTTGCCCATTCTTTCACATGTGGACTTACTGGTTGTGCCCAGACCTTTCTCCTCTGCACAGTGGTCTCAGGTCCCTGGATCCTTTGTTATATTGTGATACTTGCTGAGACTGTTGCTTTTTTAGCTGCTTGCATTTACTGTTGCCCCTTCCCCTGGGGTTGTAGCAAACAGTCTCTCAAGGGGACTAATGTCTTAGTTCTATGGCCCATTAATCCATGGGAGGGTGTGTTGCCATGGTCCAATAGAGCCAGGTAGGGATCCCCTGCAGTCTTATTTGCCTTCAACAAGAGTATCTTGGCTGTCTTTACTGCTGATTCAGCCTTGCCATTGCTTTATGGGTACCCAGGGGATAATGTCTTGTGCTGGAATTCCCATCTAGTGAAGAACTGTTTGAATTCTCTTGGGATGTATTGTGGGCCACTGTGAGAACAGTGTGTCAGGTATCCCATGCTGTACAAAATGAGCCTTCAGCTTCCTGATCACCTTTCCTGCATGAGTGTCTTTGAGGTAATCCACCTCCCAAAAATTGGAATAGTAGTCCACGGTGACCATATAGTTTCTATCATTGACATCAGACAAATCAGTCCCTACTTTCTCCCAGGGCAGAGAGGGGATGTCATGAGGGTTCAATGTCTCTTTTTGCAGTTTGTCACTGTATTCCTTGCACACCTTACACTGCTCCGTGTATGTTCTGAAGTGGGCATTCATGCCTGGCCAGTAGATGCACTCCCATGCTCTCCTCAGGCATGATTCTATTCCCATGTTTGAAACATAGAGTTGGTTCATCATGTCTTGCCACAGAGCTACAGGGATCACTGCCCTGTCTCCCAGACCTCCTTCTGACGCATCACACTGTAGTACTAGTTGCTCAGCTGTGTTGTAGTAAATACTTCAGTGTTAGGGCCTTGCTGATAAGTTTTTTAATTCTTTTGAATGCCTCCTTTTGGGTCTGTGCCCATTCCCAGGCTGCAACATTGTGTGTTAGCAACCTAAGTGGCTCACAAGCATTAGACAAGTGTGTACAAAATTTGGACAGATAATTAACCATCCCAATAAGGTGCTGGACTCCTTTGACATCCTGTGGCCTGGGCATCTCCATAATGGCTCTCACCTTCTCTGGGTCTGGGCATAGTCCTTCTGAAGTCAGCAGATGTCCAGTGTAGGGTACTTTTGCTCTTTTCAGCTGTATTTTGTCGGCATTCAGTTTAATGTTCCTTTCCTGGCATCTGTTAAGGAGTTGTTGTAGTTTGACGTCATGGTCACAGATCGCCTCTTCCTTATCATCCTCTTCTCCTATGACAAGAATATCATCAGCCACAATCTTGATACCCAGAAGACCTTCTAGCTCCTGGTTTAGCTTCCGCTGGAAAACTTCTAGAGTTGGGTTGATCCCCATGGGCATGATTAACCAGCAATACTTGGCAAAGGGCATATTAAAGGTTGTCAGGTGGCTGGATGATTCGACTAGCTCCACATGCCAACATCCATTCTTGACATCGCAAACTCTGAACACTCTTGCCCTTGACAGGTCAGGTAGTACATCATCAATCATTGGCAGTGGGTAATGGGCTTCTTTTGAGTGCCCTGTTAAGTGGTTTTGGATCAATGCAGATCCTCAGTATGCCTGAGGACTTCATTACTACTACTAGGCTGCTGATCCAGTCAGTGCTTTTATCAGCTGGTGTGATGATGCCTTTTTTCTGCAAGTTTGTCAATTCTTTCTTCAGTGGCTCCAGCAGGGCTAGCAGAATTCTGTTTTGGTAGTCATACTGGTTGCACCTGTGGATCTATTTCTAACTTCAGTTTGCCTTCAAAGAGTTCAGTGCCCTGAAATATGTCTCCATATCTTAACAGAATGTTAGGTAGTGAACTTAATAACCATTCTTGCTCTTCTGTGACCCAGAGGATGTTGTGGTGTTGCAATGTAATTAAATCCATGGTTTGTGCTGCCCAGCTGCCCAGCAGTGGATGGGTGTCTGCCCTGTCAATCACTATAAATTCCAGGCAGTACTGTTTCTTGTTGCATGGATTTCTTATAGTCAGCTGGCACTTTCCCGGTGGCCTCACAGTTGTTTTGTTATACATTAACAGCACCTGGTGACATGTTTCCATTCTGATGCTGCTACTCAATAGATTCACAGGAAGGACACTGCAAGTGGCTCCACAATCCACCTGGAATCGCATAGGTCTTTGCTCTAGCATCATTGTTGCAAATATGGCCAAGTTGCTACCCGCTTTTTTCTGTAATGTGTGTATCCTATGAGTCTGTGAATCTGTCAAATTTACACTGAAAGATTCCTCCTCATCTGTAGTCTCCTGATTGCTCATCACTGCGTGGACTGTTTTTTTTCTATTTGGGTGGCTATGACACTGACCCCTGAAATGACTCTGTTTTCCACATTTTTTGTACCCTTTTCTATAGGCTGGGCATTTGTCCTTCTGCCTTTCATGTAGCTTCCCACAGTACATGCTCTGAATCATATTGTTGACATTTGCAGTTGGCCTGTCAGGTTCCTGCTTTCCAGAGTCCTTTAGGTTGAGCCTGTGAACCTGCTCTGTACATGTGGCTGTGAATATCATTTTGATCCTTTGTTAAAACAATTCTGCTGCTCTTGCAATTTTGTGACATTTTTCCAGGATTAGATCTACCTCTCTTAGTAGTCTCTCCCTCAGGGCAGAGCCCCATGTACCATATACAATCCTATCCCTGATTAGGGAGTCTTTTATGTCTCCAAAGTTACATGAGGATGCCAGAGTTTTCAGTGCTGTGATATAGGCCTCTATTCCTTCCTCTTGGTTTCAGGTGAAAAACTGATATCTCTCTAAAGTCTTATTTTTCCTGGGGTCACAGTATGCATCAAATGCTTCTATTAACAGTTTTGATGTGTCAGAGTTCCCTGTCATCAGTGTCATACTTCACAGCCTTTTTCCCGCACTAGATAGTAAAACAGCTTTATCTTCATTTTCTCTACTTTATCAGTCATGGTTAATTCTGTATACAAACTGAATTCTTGCTTCCATTGTTTCCATGTCTGTGCCAGGCTCTTGTGTTGAAATCCAGCTGTCCTTGGGCCTTCTGTCCCTCCATGCTTCTTGCAATCTGTTTTAATCACTGCTGGGGCCCAGGTCTCTCGCTTGTCTTGGGCTTCCTCACAGACTTTCTGCTGCCACCATGTTTCATGTGACCCTGTATGGGTAATCAAGGAACAGCTCCCTACTTAATATAAACAGTGTCTTTATTAAAGTAGTTTCTTACAGACCTGTTACGGGACCTGCGGTTCTCCCCCAGCCTCTCAAACTCTCTTGTTTTTCCTGTCTCCTCCCTCCCCCTCACTTCCTGTTCCTTCTTTGGACTTCTCCTTTCTGCTGCTGCTGGTTTTGCCTCTGAGATCCATACATATTGTTACACACACTAAGGGGTCAAGCTGCAGAAAAGAATGCTGCCATTTCACATGGGAAATTCCATCCTCTCATATATTATTTCCATAGAAAGTGCTCATGGCTGGCAGGGGAGTTGCCAGAGAAACAAAGAGCTGGAGGATTACTCCTACAAACAGGATAGAGAAAGAGGAAATAAGGGATTAGTGAATGCTACTTAATCCTCTATCTGCACTGACAGTGGTTGGCCACAATGTTATTACTGCTGTGTGCACAACCAGGAGGTTGCAAGAACTTGAAAAACCATTAACAGTCCTACTTTTGTAACATGCCACCACCACCACCTTGAGACTAGGTCAAAACAAATGTCAAGGAGGAGGAGGACCCAACTAGATTTTACATTTTTTTTTCAGGAACCAGAGCAGGATGGGATAGGATCATACTTAGATACCTATTAGGTGAAATAGGATTTAGCCCATAGTGTTAATGATAATACCAGATCTCCTTACTATTTTTGTAGTTGAGTGTGCATGCATGTGTGTGTGTTCCACCTCCGCCAACCCCCCCCCCCACGTTTCTTGGATTTATCTCCAAAACAGGTCACTGAGTTGCTTTGGAATAAAAATAAATGTGCAAAAAGGACCTCAGGTAACAAACAGAGAGGTAAACAACACAGACATATAATCAAATGCTTTTCATTATTCAAGTTTGGTGATTGCAAGGCATTAATATGCAAAACATGAAGAAATTCAAAATAACAATTATCCATGCAAAACATTTGGATTGGTATGGAAAATGTCCGCTTCCCTTTGTGTCACTTGAGGTTTTTATTCATACTGATATATATTTAAACACAGATTTGACAATTTGTTTAGGAGGGAGAGTCAGTTTATTGCAGGGGCGGACAATTATTTTGGGCAGAGGGCTGCTTACTGAGTTTTGGCAAGCCATCGAGGGCCACATGATAGGCAGCCAGGGGCAGATAAATATTAATTTTCTAAATTTTTTAGGGGCCTCGCGGGCTGGATAGAATGGCCTGGAGGGCCACATCCGGCTCCCGGGCTGCATTTTGCCTGCCCCTGGTTTATTGTCTTATGGAATGTATATACATGCTTTTAGATGTATGTTTATAATGAGCATCAAAGCAGAAGCAAAGGTAAAGCATACCCTTCCTAAGGAGTAACCTTGTAAGGAAAAGAGCTTCTAGCAATGTTTCCTTGTCTGAGTAATTATTCTAATTACTTCCACCATTAAGCATCTCTCAGACTATGTGATTAGACCAGGAATAATTTGGTAAAGAGTACTTTATAACTCATTTACTTACTTATGCATATATCCATCTGCATTCCCTGTTAGGTTCATCTGCATAACAGTCTGAAATTCCGTCTCATTGCAGCAGTATTTAAATACTGTGTTGTTATGGTGACAGCAAAAGATGTAAGATTTATTGTCAGAAAGACGTGGGCAGTGAAAACCAAAGTGGTAGCGACCTTTGTAGTCTGTATATGGCTCACAGACCCGAAAGTGAGCAGACAATGCTGGAAAACAAAGAGTGATATTGTCTTTGTGAGTCACTTGTGTCAGCTGCATATAATGTATATTTTATTGTTTCTTAGTTAAGCTTCAAAAAATGTTCTTAGATTTCTGAAAAACAGTAATAATGTATTTCACCAATTTCTACTTAAAGATAAATACAAATACTGAGTCTGAAGGGAAAAATCTTATATCTTATACTTCAATTTTTAGGAGTACTATGTTTCCATTCTTATTAAATTGAAAGAAGAAATGCTATCAATAACTACCACATGTATGGAGGGCACATAATGCTAAAACATTTAGAAAATATCTTCAACTCTGATGTTTTAAAAATATGGGTACCAGCAAAGACCTAGAAAAGTTAGTCCAGAATTTTGCTTGGATGATTTTATTGTAAATAAAAAGAATATATGCAAAGTAGAATGAGAGTCTGGAGATGCAAGATTAACAACAGCTGTTATTAATGTGTCAGAAATGTCTGCTCCACTATAAAGGTCATTCTTTGATGAGCACCAATCTGCCAAAAATAATAATTAAAAGACATTGCCATGCTAACAGACTAGAGCAACTGTGAATATACAAAGTTAAAACAAAAGCTATGGAAAGGAAATTATTTCTCAGAGCTTGTGTGTTTCTTTTTATTACCTTCCCATGTAAAATATTTACTGTCTCCTTTAAGACTTTTTTTCCATAACTGTTTCACTCCGGCTTTGCCATTCACTTCTCTTGAAACAGTTACATTATCTCTGCCTATTTATTCAGATCATAGACTATAAACTAACTGTCATATGATGACTAGCATATTATACAGCTTTTTAGGATAAAGAGATCTGTAGTTAACCTGTTTCTAACATGTATTTTTAAAATTTATTTAAAGTTTGTGTTATGGTGGACTTAAAGGCCCCATCTGAGATTCCATACACACTCTATGTCGTGATGACATTACAGCCTAAAGAGACTATCAAATTGGGGGAAGTGAAATAATTTTGTTCTGATTTTAAGCCAGTTTAGTTAACTGGTATAACTTGGGCCATAAACAGATGTAATTTCTGGGGTGAGATCAGCAATGTTGGGCTCCTAGCGCTTCAAGGGCTTGATCCTGTAGGATGATGGCCCCCAAGTGCCACACCCCGTGGCGATTCTCCTGCTTGTAGAGGCGCATCCTAGATCAGGGAATGGCAGCATGATATGTATGCTGCTGGAATCCCCTGTTCTTTCCCACCTGCAAACACGTGCCACCTTTCCCACCTATAAACTCATGTGTTTATAAACGATCTGGACTCTGATGTCAGAAGCAGCCTGGCTAAGTTTGCTGATGACACCAAACTAGGGGGAAGTGCCGCCTAGAGGATAGGCTGGCAATCCGGGCTGACTTCAACAGGCTTACAATGTGGGCAGATCAACCCTGATGGCATTCAACACTGAGAAATGCAAGGTGCTCCACCTTGGGAGAAAAAACCCACACCACACTTATAGGCTCAGCAGTCCTACACTCGCTAGCACCACAACTGAAAGAGACTTGGGCGTCATGATTGACCACAAGATGAACATGAGCCGCCAATGCAATGCTGCAGGTGGCAAAGCAAACAAAACTCTGGCTTGCATCTACCGATGCATCTCAAGCAAGATCCAGGAAGTCATCCTCCCACTTTACTCATCCTCGGTGAGACAACTGCTGGAATACTGTGCCCAGTTCTGGGCTCCACAATTCAGAAATTATGTGGAGAAGCTTGAGAGAGTCCAGAGGAGAGCCACGCAAATGATTAGAAGACAAGAGAGGTCTTGTGCAAGCACCTACTCTGGATACTTTCAAAAAACACTTGGATGCCTATCTTGCTAGGATCATTTGACCTCTGTTGACTTCCTGCCCTTTGGCCAGGGGGCTGGACCTGATGATGTTGTGATGTCCTTTTCAGCCCTAATGTCTATGAAATCTATTAAATCTATGCCCCAGAAATTCCCCTGCAAGTGTGGAGTGGGGAACTGGGCTTCCCTGCTCTGTGTCAGCAAGGGAATTCACAGGGTGTGTGCCTGCAAGCACTGAGTGGGAAAGCCCATGGCATAACCTGTTCTGCCCCTGCAGACATAGGCCCTGGGTTGGGCTAATGCCTGAGGCTGTTGTCATTCAGGATTGGGTCCCGGAAGTGCCTAGCTAGGGTGCATGGAGAGCTTGTGCTCTAGTGCTGTAAGCAAGTGGATGTCTGCTGAAAAAAGGTGGTACAAATTTTGAGTACACAATGCTGTGACCACAATTTGGGGCATTTGTTATGCAACAAGGGACAAAGGATAAGTCTTGGGACCCAGAACTAAATTAGGAAACAACACTACTAAAAAATGTAAAAATTATGGAAATTCTAAATTAACCCTATAGTGCACTACAGACCATAGATGGTCTATGGCAGAGCCAGAAATTTCTTGTGTCCTGCACCCCAATCAAGTATCTTAACAAACATAACTGTCATTCCTTTCTGACAGGATACTTTTAGAATATGACTGAGTTGATGATAATTTCATACTCCAGAACGGAAGGTAATATATCTTTTTGGCATCAAGTTTTTGAAAGCATTACATGCTCTGAGAAGAAAATGATCTTGATTGTAGAATATGGTGTATCAATTCAAATGCTATGGAGTCTAGTTGGGGCTGTGCTCCAACTAGATGCAGTGGGGACAGAGCCTGCTGACTCTGGAGCAAGGGTAAGTGCCAGAGGGAGAGTGGGGGGAGGGACAGAAGTAAAATGGGGTAGGAGATGGAGGGGGGAAGGAGGCCAGCAGGGACACTGGAAGGGAGGGGTGGGGGGCAAGGTTATGAGGCAGAGAGGCAGGGGTGAAAAAGTGGTGGGAAGGGGGCAGGGAGCAGCTGGGTGGGGCTGGGGCCTCAGCTGTTGCTCCCCACCCCACCAATTCTAAGACAAGGGGCTTCCCTCCTTCCCCCGCCCCACCATGTTAAGTGCGGAAAGGAAACCTTGTCTTGGAATCAAGTAAATACAGTATATAAATGCCCAAATTATATTCAGAAATCCCATAGTTAAACAAAGCAAATAACTGTATAAACAAATGCATACCTCTCTGTGTAAATACTCACTTCTACGCGTAATTGCTAAACTGTTTACCTGAAAATTTTAGCCTCTGATATTTATTGCCCAGAATATATGTATTTCTATATTTGTTGTTTGTAAATTTGCTAAGGACAAAGTCAAGAAATGGAAAATCCTTGTTAAAAACAAGGCATGTGGCTGGATCCTCAGCTTAATGCTTGGGTATGCTCATGTATTCTGCCAAATTTTCTTCACACAGTTGTTCTAATTTCATTTTTTATACTGGCCTCTAACACACTCCATTTCACTTCTAGACTCGCAAAACAACCATACTAGTGCATTTCAAAATTAACAGGCATTGCAATTGTCCACTAAGGCAAGGTACAGACATTACACTTTTACCAGTATAACTGATCAGAACTAGTCTATACCCAGAACTGAACCGAAGTTTGGCACACAAAACCAGTGTATACCTGTAACAGTTTGGCACACAAAACCAGTTTATACCTGTAACAGAACAGAAGCTTGGCGCACAGCCCAATTTAAAAATGGCAGAAGCTGGTATAAGATTTGCCCCCTCACCAAAGGGCGAATGTGTGTTCGTTACCGCCGTTTACAGAACCACACCACTTACAGAAAATTGCATAACTTAGATCGGCTCTGCCTCAGGCTTTTTGAATGTCTGTACCTTGCCCAAAAGTCTGGATTTTCTTGTGATTAAGACAGGAATATTGAACTCAGAAGTCTATACTAAGAGCTGGTCAAAAAAGTTAACCTCTGCAGAGAATTGTGATATTTTGAAATTTATTTTCACCCTGAATCGGAAAAAGTTGGAATATCAATTTTTTTTTGTTTAGAAAGTTTGAAACATGCCATTTAGATATTTTCACTCTAAAAACGTTTCAACATCATTAAATAACTCTTTACTAGCAACGTTAGAAGCTTACAGATTTTAGATGCTTCAAGGATTAGGCAGCAGCTCTGTGAGTGTATGCAAGATCTACATTTTGGAATTACATACCTAAAAAGGAAGTTGAAGTACTCAGCTCCCTTTTGAGGATCTGGTTTGAAGACCTCTGTCCTCTCATGAATATCCATACAAAACAATCTTTATTAATGTGATCACAAACTGTTTCTAAGATAATGCAAAATCGTGACATTTTCTTCACAATGCTGATCTATATACATATTTAGGAGATGCCATGGTCAAGATATCAAAATGTAGGCACAATGAGTGGAGATAAGATTGGATATCTTGGAACTCTTGATTTTATCTTAACAAACTACTTCCTGTCCATACAGTGTCAAGACATTGACAGTCCTGTCATCCCTCTGCTTTACCTGTGGCAAGCTAGGATGTTCTTAGTGTTTTGGAGCATTATGCCTGGTAGTTCTTTGAAAGGGTTGTTTGTGCAGTTTTAAGAACAGGTTAGACAGACACTTGTATAGGATGATATAGAAAAGGATGATCCAGTCTTGAGAAGGAGCTTAGATTAGATGACTTCCTGAGGTTCCCTCCAGCACTTCTTTTCTATGTATATATGATCTTAAGGCTCATTGAGAATACATGATTCTCAATCAGGGTTCTGTGACACTGTGGGGTGCCCTGAGACCTTTTCAAGGGTGCTACAGGGTCCCACACAATGTTAGCATCGCTAGCTGTTTGAATATGATTCACAAGGTAAGCCCAGAAATTTAAAATAGGAATCCATAGTGTTAAAAACATTTTGATCTGTTGTGGTTTTTCTGAGTTCTTTCCAATAAAAGAAATTCTCTATTGTTATTATTTAATAGGCAAAATGAGTGAAAACTAAGAGCTGGCATTTTCCATGGGGTACCTCCAGTCTAAAAAGGTTGAGAATTACTGTTATATGTTAACACTATTTCTTTACATTTCTTGAGATTACTTATTTTGCTCAGTGACAGTGTGTAACCCTAAGTAATACATTTTTGCTTCACTGCTACATTGCTAAAATAGGATAATGGTGATCAGCCAACTTTGTGAAGTGTTTTAAGAAGTAGGAATGAAAAGCATTGTAAAAGCTAGTTATTATTACTAGTTCTCAATGAAGATATTCTGTGTATAAATTTTAGCCATTTTTGCTGTATTCCTGTATACAAAAGTGTGATTAACAGTATACCAAAAGAGGGGAAGGGTGGATCTTTACAAACTAAAAAAGGAAAAAAGAAGAAATGGTGCATAGGATTCTACTTGCCTATCCTCTTGAAGACTATAAACATGGAAAACTTCAGACAAACAGATGAGGATTTGGAAGGTCTGAGCCTGTGTAAGATACTGCTAATGATGTGAATAGTTTTGCAATTTAACTGTAGCAGAAGAAAGATCTGAAAGGCTAGACGGTGGTGGGCAATGTGATCCACACACACGTTCATATGCTCTTGCTTCTGAAAGTGAATATACTTGCCATATAACTAGGCTTGGCAGGATTCGTTTTTAATTGGTAAATGTCAATAAACAGCTATTTCACCTCACACTCACAGACCGACGAAAAAGTACTTCCATCATTTATAATCAAAATGTATAGAAAGGGGACATAAAAATAGGTTGCTGCTGAAGTGCGCAGGTGTGCTCCAGCTGAGCAGTGGCTGGAGGCAGAGGTGGGGAGGGGCAGGCTGGGCACTGTGGTCTGCATGCAATGAATGTGCGTTCCCTCCCCTGCCTCCCTAGCTCAGTGACTGCCTTGCAACTTAAGTGGAAGCCAGTGGGCAGAGCAAGCCACTGGCTGAAGGGGACAGAGGCTTCTGCAGCAGCTGGACGTTTCTTTGGTGGGGACTGGGTGGAGGAGCTGGGGGCAATGACCTCTGTGGGACAAAGGGAAGTGGGTGCTGAGCTCATCAGTACTATGCACAGTGGCAGGCAGCAGGCTAACAGCCCAGCAGCACAACTTCCCCTGTGCATGCTGTGTGCTGGGCTGGAGGAGGAAGCAGACATATTTGTGTGTGTGTGTGCCTCCATGCCCCTAATTTCACACAATCCTGAAATTTAAATAGATAAAAATCAAAATAAATGCTTAAAAATAAAACCCCCCTAATATTAGCCATTGAATTATTAAAAAATAAAAATTGAATTCTGCCAAGCCTACATGTAACCCTAGCTGCTGAGTGTATAGATGGATCATTCAATATAACAGTATGATTTGTACAGTAGTGAAGCCCCCCACCCCCTCTTTTTTTTCAAGGAGACCATAAACTATTCAGAATCAAATGGCAAGCAAAATTGATCATTAAAGTTCTGTGTGACAAATTTTGAGCCTATGTTGTTAGATTCCTGTTAGTTTAACTTTCCTAAACATAACAGTATTGCATTTTTATCTTATTTTCCAATCACCAACTACACAGTTATAATTCTTATACATCACATTATCCTTGATTTAACTCTTTTAGGGATACACTTGGTTATAATGTCATTACATCTACTTACTAACAAAACAAATTCTTCCCTTAGTTCACGTGTGTGCGAGCACACACACACACACACACACACACACACACACACACTTTTGGTAGAAACATTACCTGCTGATAAAAGTAATGAGAACACAACCATCAGCGCATTCAAGGACTGGTGACCACAACTTGTCATCATTTTGCTTTCATTGATCCATTAGAGGATTACCTGTTTAACAAGATGCAATATTGTGGTTAAGTGTAATTGCATATCACTTTTACCTGCTTAAATCTTTACGGACAACATAGATTTTGTAAACAAAGGTGAAGGCTAATAAATTCAAAGAATGGATGCAAAATTAATATATGCATTTTATATTCTAAAGCACTAAGGAGAGATGAACCAATTGAAGTTCATAGCTAACTATTCTCCTAGCTTTGTAATCTTAAAGAGCATACCTCAGGACTTGAAATACTGTAGGCAAGAATGAACCATTTCATTGTGTCAGAAGAACTAGGAAAGTTAACATGATTTAAAGTAATCCCTTTTCCCTTTCAAAAAATTATACATCACTCTAGGATGAGGTTGAGAGGATGCAGTGTTTCAGAAAGTGGGCTACAGAACAGAGCTGATGAAAAAAATGTTTAAACATACTTTTTTGTTCCCTTCAAAATTTGCCAATTTGTTGAAATCGAAAAATGTTGCGAGATCATTTTAACAACATTCAACTGGAAACCAGCCAAGCTTACACTGAACCTTGTCTACTGCTGACTGGTTTCTTGCCAGCTCACCTACCCAGGTCCTTGAAGTCCTGCCTGACAAGTGTTGAAAGAAAAAGACTACTTAAATTTATGTCCAGGATAGGCCTGGTGTAGAGCAGCCCTATGATTAGATGAGACAAAAGAAGTCTTGAACTTCATGTTGTTTTGGCTGTCCTCAGCCATACTGAGCATTCCCTGACTATAGCTAAGATTCTGCCCTGTTGTGAATTTTGCCAGGGGCCTACCTCTGGTATCACCAGTGCTGCAGTATTCCTTATCTTATTGCAAGTGGTAGTGATGGATGCTCAAGACCTAGTATGTTTAAAGTCAACACTATTAGCCACTGTCATTTCACCAGAGGGTATGGAGTACAGACATTTGTTAAGGGCTGGCACACCAGTATTAGAAGCCTGAATAATAAGCAAGAGAAACTGGGATTGTTCATTCATAAGCATAAATTCAGCTGCATTGAGATATCAGCCAACTGGGGAATGATTCATATTACTGGGTTATTAAAAGCAAAGGCTATAATCTACAGAAGAAGAATCAAGTGGGCAAAAGTGGAAGGGGAATGACATCTGATGCATTGCCTATTTTCAAGTCATTGACATTCAAAATAATCTTCAATGCCTATGAATCAATGTATTAACATATAAACATATAGTGAGTAAATAATTGGCATCTGCTCAAGCCACCCAACCAAACCAGATAATAGAATGATGAGCTCCTTAAGTACCTCTGTGTGTAGCGGGGAAAGGCTGCACTATCAAGGGGGACTACAGGCTGAATGACACATGTGGGAGGTGCCATGCTGCCAGAACTAAAATATCCATAGAATGTTGTGAGGTGACACATTCTTCACTCATTTAAAAGTGCTGCAGCCAACATGGGCAGATTTTATAGTAAACCTCGCATTGATAGATAATGATGAATTGAACACAAAACTAAAAATTAGCAGTAGCTGAGACAGTCATGACCAGTTGATATTTGATGGGCACATCTACATGTATGCTTTACTGTGCAGTAGACTAATTTACTGCACAGTAAAGCATCACTGTCTACATATGTGCGGCAATTAGGTTGGTGCAGACTAATTTACTGTGCTGTCATGCTGTCAGATAGTACCATCAGACACAAGTACTATCCAACAGTGGAGTAAATTATTGCGCTTAAATGCGCATAGAGACAATGACGTCCGGCATAGATGCCAACTTTAATTTTTG